GCTCATTCTTTAGGTGATGTCACCAGAGGGCTCCTGCTGCTCCTCAGGGAGAGGAGTTTACACGGCAGAGTGGGGATATGCCCCAAAGTGGCCCCTTTTTTTCTAGCATTTGGCTAAGAGGTACTGTTACTGGGAGGATCTGAACAGTCTGGGGGGGAATCGGGGTGTGACATGGACTGAAGCCCTCACCTTCTCTCCACCCCCTGAAGCCTCCTGGCTGCTCTGAGCTGGATGGGGGTGGGATTCTGCTACTCTGTCGCTCCCAGAGCTTCCATTTCTTTATCCGTCCTCACACGTCACTAGTGGGATTGTGGCTGGAGCATCAGGTAATGAGTGGGGGCTTTTGGTGTTCCAGATGCCGGTGACCTTCGAGGAGGTGGCTGTGTATTTCACCCAGGGGCAGGGGGCTCTCCTGGACCCCGCTCAGAGAGCCTTCTACAGGGACGTCATGCAGGAGAACTACGAGACGGTGACCTCGCTGGGTACGGGATTCTTGTCCCCTCGGTTATTCGAAGTCGTGGGGTCTGTGTGTCTGAATCTGGTCAGGTTCTTCCCATGTCCGTTAGATCAGACGTAAATGGGTTCCATAATGCACAGCTGCCATGTGAGAGAGACTTGCATCTAAGTGCCCTTTCCCGTGGGACATGAGTGTCAAACCCAGTGGACAAGCTAAACCATCCCCACCCCTCCAGCTTTCAAAGGGGCATAAATCCATAATTGTCCTGTCTGTGTTGTTTCTCAGCTGCATACACAATCCCTGTTCACCTCCCTCCTTGGGAATAGCTCCAGCTATGGGGAGGGTTCTGGGCTCTGCAGGTTTAGAAAGAGGCAGGGGTTTAAGTCCAGAGCTGTGTGTGAGTCAACAAGGCCCCCAGAGCTCAGAGATCCTGGGAACACCTAGTGAGGGTGTAGTAATAATTCAACTCACCTCCCCAGATAACTTCTTCTGTGCGAGGGGGCTCATTTACCATTTCCACATCCTCTTGAATTCCACATTCCTCCAGCAGAGCACAGGGACAGGTTCCACTCACGGAATGTCCTTTCTGACAAATACTCCACCAATGCTCCACCTGATCTGATCTGATTTCCCCCTCTGCACAGGATTCCCCCTTCCCAAACCTGAGCTGATCGCCCGGCTGGAACGAGGGGAAGAGCCGTGGGTTCCCGATCTCCAGGCCTGCAATGAAAGAAGGCTTCCGAGATGCACCCATACAGGTGAGGACTGACACAGAAACCATCTAGGGAATGAAGGAAAAAGTTGAGAATCCCAAAATATGGTGTGAGTAAGCGCCCTCAGTTCTTCCTCATCTCAGTCAGGACAGGGCTGCAGTCATCAGATATAGCTCACACCATTCCACCCAGCCTCCTATCTGCAGGATTTTGCTTCCCAGCTTTCCTTCCCTGTGAGTGTTTGGGTGGGATGTGGAGGCGGAGTCCAATTGCTCAGTGTTTGGGCTGGTCCACACTAACCCGCCACTTTGAACTAAGATACACAACTTCAGCTATGTGAATAACGTAGCTGAAGTCGATGCATCTTAGTTCGAACTTACCGCAGGTCCAGATGCGGCAGGCGGGCTCCCCGTCAACTCCGCGTACTCCTCTCGTGGAGCAGGAGTACCGGCGAGGATGGCGAGCACTTCCGGGATCGATTTATCGCATCTAGATAACACGTGATAAATCGATCCCAGAAGATCGATTGCTTACCGCCGGACCCGGAGGTAAGTATAGACGTACCCTTTGTGTTGGGTTTGCCCTTTGTGCTATTCCTCTTTCTCCCCAGCACAATGACTCCTGTTTGGATTGTGTCTCTCCCAGCAGGTGCTGAACAAGGGAGTGAGAATGAGGCGGGGAATCATCATGAGGAAGATCCCGGGGAAGTGGAACCGCAGGGGACCTTTGTGGGAAGAGCTGAAGGGAATTTTTCCCAGTGCTTGGAGCAGGCAGAAGCCTGGGGAAGTTGGCACAGGTCAGAGAGGCTTCTGGGAAACCAACCAGGGAAGAAAGTGGATGAATCTATTAACGGTGGGGGAAGAGAGGAGGATCCCAGAGCGCGGCAGACAAATCCCAAGGAAAAGACACCCTGGCACTACCTTCAGTGTGGGAAAGGATTCACTGTGAGATTACAGCTTCTGACACATCAGAAAATCTGTGCTGGAGAGAAACCCCTTCAATGCTTGGACGATGGGGAAAGCTTCAATGAGCTCTCAGATCTTAATAACTATGTCAGCAGCCACACTGGAGAGAAAACCTGTCAATCCCTTGTGTGGGGGAAATGTTTCATTTCAAAGACACAAATAATTAGACATCAGGCAATCCACACAACAGAGAGACCCCACAAGTGCTTGGACTGTGGGAAAGGTTTCATCAGAAGGTCACACCTAGTTCGTCATCAGGCAATCCACACAGCAGAGAGACCCCACAGCTGCTTGGACTGTGGGAAAAGTTTCATAAGAAGGTCACACCTTGTAGAACATCAGGCAATCCATACAGGAGAGAGACCCCACAAGTGCTTGGACTGTGGGAAAAGTTTCATAAGATGGTCATACCTTGTTAAACATCAGGCATTACACGCAGGAGAGAGACCCCACAAGTGCTTGGACTGTGGGAAAAGTTTCATAAGAAGGTCACACCTTGTAGAACATCAGGCAATCCATACAGGAGAGAGACCCCACAAGTGCTTGGACTGTGGGAAAAGTTTTATAAGAAAGTCAAAACTAGTTAAACATCAAGCATTACACACAGGAGCGAGACCACACAGGTGCTTGGACTGTGGGAAAAGTTTCCTGAGAAGGTCACACCTTGTTATACATCAGGCAATCCATACAGGAGAGAGACCCCACAAGTGCTTGGACTGTGGGAAAAGTTTCATAAGATGGTCATACCTGGTTAAACATCAGGCATTACACGCAGGAGAAAGACCCCACAAGTGCTTGGACTGTGGGAAAAGTTTCATAAGAAGGTCACACCTTGTAGAACATCAGGCAATCCATACAGGAGAGAGACCCCACAAGTGCTTGGACTGTGGGAAAAGTTTTATAAGAAGGTCAAACCTTGTAGAACATCAGGCAATCCATACAGGAGAGAGACCCCACAAGTGCTTGGACTGTGGGAAAAGTTTTATAAGAAAGTCAAAACTAGTTAAACATCAAGCATTACACACAGGAGCGAGACCACACAGGTGCTTGGACTGTGGGAAAAGTTTCATAAGAAGGTCACACCTTGTTAAACATCAGGCAATCCACAGAGGAGAGAGACCCCAGAGCTGCTTGGACTGCGGAAAAAGTTTCATACGGAGGTCTGACCTTATTAAACATGGAAGAATCCACACAGGATCTAAACTTCTGTGACAGATGGCAAGAAATGGTTCAGCAACTTCCATGTAATTGACTCATGGTCAACATTTAGAGAGAGATTTTAAAAATGTGTCCACCTTAGATAGCTAGAGTTTGAAATGTAAATGTGTATTTTTAAAGACTTGGAAGAAAAGGGCAAGTCATGTCTGAGTAACCTAATTGCCTTCTACGACGAGATAACTGGCTCTGTGGATGAGGGAAAAGCAGTGGATGTGTTATTCCTTGATTTTAGCAAAGCTTTTGATATGATCTCCTACAGAATTCTTGCCAGCAAGTTAAAGAAGTATGGGCTGGATGAATGGACCATAAAGTGGATAGAAAGCTGGGTAGATCGACGGGCTCAACTGGTAGTGATCAATGGCTCCATGTCTAGTTGGCAGCCGGTATCAAGAGGAGTGCCCCAAGGGTCGATCCTGGGGTCCGGTTTTGTTCAGTATGTTCATTAATGATCTGGAGGATGACGTGAACTGCACCC